CCTCCTTCCTATCCCCCTCCTCTTTCTCCTCCTGCTTCTCCTCCTTCTCCCTCTCCTTCTCCTTCTCCTCCCCCTCCTCCTCCTCCTCCTCCTCCTTCTCTCCCTCCTCCCCCCTCCCCCACCCCTCCCCACCCCCCCTCCCCCACCCCTCCCCACCCCCCTCTTCCCCATCCCCCCCTCTTCCACCTCCCCATCCCCCCCTCCTCCTCCTCCCCCTCCCCCCTCTCTCCTCCTCCCCATCCCCCTCCCCTCTTCCTCCTCCTGCTCCCCCACCCCTTCTCCCCCTTCCTCTCCTCCTCCTCCTCCACCCCCATTCGCCGCCCCCCCTCCTCCCCCTCCCCCTCCTCCTAACAACCGCTTTCCTGATGTGTGAAATTTCTACCTAAATCACCTCGTGAGTGCGCACATTACCTCGCTCTCTGACAGGCTGCCATTTCCACGGCGGACGAGCCATTGGATCGTTAACGTGAATTACTGAACGACAGGAATCCCTTTTTTTAGGAGGAGGAGGAGCAGTTGATTTGTTTAGGATTCGTGTTCGTATTGGAATCATTATCAGTATCATTATTGTTATTATCATTATTTTCATAATTTTTATGGTTATTATTGTTGTTGTTGCTATCAATTTTGTTATTATTGTTGTTGTTGTTGCTATCAAATTATTATTATTATTATTATTATTATTATTATTGTTGGTATTATTATCATTATTATTAGTAGTAGTAGTAGACAGTATCATTATCATTATTATTTTTGTCATTCTTATTCTTATTATCATCATCATCATGAACTTCATCAATATCATTATTATTGGTGTTGTTAATATGATTATTATTATGATTTTCATTATCATTATTATTTTTTATTATTTATCATCATGGATGTCCACAAACGGTATTAAACATGGCCGCCAACGTCAGGCTCTGATACGGAACAGAAAAAAAAAATATTACCATCATCATTGCTACTGGCGGTATTGCAGTATTTATTAATTTTTTGTCCTTTTTTTTCTTTGCATCTATATTTTGGGTTACAATAAAGAAAAAAAAGAAGTTTAATAGCAGATGACAGTTATGGCGCGAACGTGATGGAGGAAATGGGCTGCAACACTGCTTATTAGTGTTCGAAATGACAGTCGTCACTCGCGAAACGTTTTGGGTTTTGACAAGCAGACTGATTGGGGGCAGGGGACGGAGGGGGGGTGGGGGAGGGGGGGTGGAAACAGGAGGTTGAGGTTAGGGGGTGGTGGGGGAGGGGGGGTGGAAACAGGAGGTTGAGGTTAGGGGGTGGTGGGGGAGGGGGGGTGGAAACAGGAGGTTGAGGTTAGGGGGTGGTGGGGGAGGGGGGGTGGAAACAGGAGGTTGAGGTTAGGGGGTGGTGGGGGAGGGGGGGTGGAAACAGGAGGTTGAGGTTAGGGGGTGGTGGGGGAGGGGGGGTGGAAACAGGAGGTTGAGGTTAGGGGGTGGTGGGGGAGGGGGGGTGGAAACAGGAGGTTGAGGTTAGGGGGTGGTGGGGGAGGGGGGGTGGAAACAGGAGGTTGAGGTTAGGGGGTGGTGGGGGAGGGGGGGTGGAAACAGGAGGTTGAGGTTAGGGGGTGGTGGGGGAGGGGGGGTGGAAACAGGTGGTTGAGGTGGGGAGAAGGGGGAAGGGGTGATGAGAGAGGGGGGGGGCATGGAAACAGGAGGTTGAGGTTAGGGGGTGGTGGGGGAGGGGGGGTGGAAACAGGAGGTTGAGGTTAGGGGGTGGTGGGGGAGGGGGGGTGGAAACAGGAGGTTGAGGTTAGGGGGTGGTGGGGGAGGGGGGGTGGAAACAGGAGGTTGAGGTTAGGGGGTGGTGGGGGAGGGGGGGTGGAAACAGGAGGTTGAGGTTAGGGGGTGGTGGGGGAGGGGGGGTGGAAACAGGAGGTTGAGGTTAGGGGGTGGTGGGGGAGGGGGGGTGGAAACAGGAGGTTGAGGTTAGGGGGTGGTGGGGGAGGGGGGGTGGAAACAGGAGGTTGAGGTTAGGGGGTGGTGGGGGAGGGGGGGTGGAAACAGGAGGTTGAGGTTAGGGGGTGGTGGGGGAGGGGGGGTGGAAACAGGAGGTTGAGGTTAGGGGGTGGTGGGGGAGGGGGGGTGGAAACAGGAGGTTGAGGTTAGGGGGTGGTGGGGGAGGGGGGGTGGAAACAGGAGGTTGAGGTTAGGGGGTGGTGGGGGAGGGGGGGTGATGAGAGAGGGGGTGGAAACAGGAGGTTGAGGTTAGGGGGTGGTGGGGGAGGGGGGGTGGAAACAGGTGGTTGAGGTGGGGAGAAGGGGGAAGGGGTGATGAGAGAGGGGGGGGGGGGGCGTGGAAACAGGAGGTTGAGGGTAGGGGGATGGGGGAGGGGGGGCAGGTGGTTGTGGTGAGAAGGGGGGTGGAAACAGGTGGTTGAGGGTGGGGGAAGGAGGAGGGGGTGATGAGAGGGGGGTGGAAACAGGAGGTTGAGGTTAGGGGGGAAGGGGAGGGGGTGAAGGAAGGGTTACGTGGGTGCGTGACAGAAAAGGAAAATAACTTAAGAATTTGTGGGATTTTTTCTTCTTTTTTATTTTTCGTTTTCTTTGTGGGGGATAGCGGGGGAGGGGGGGGGGGCGGAAAATAACCCGGAATCAGATAAATGATGAATTCAGAAAATCATCATATTTTTACTAATTCTTTTTATAATGCGAAATTGTTAAGAAGGGGTGGGGTGCGGTTTGGAAATATCACACACACACGCACACACACACACACACACACACACACACACACACACACACACACACACACACACACACACACACATTTATGCGTGTGTATGTGTGTGTGTGTGTCTGTATATGTATATGTCAATCTATATATGTATATGTCAATCATACTATAAAGTGATCATCAAAAAAAGAAAAAGAAAAGAAGAAAAAAAAACATGTTAACGAAACACAGCTGATCACCTAATAACAGGACTGTCTTAAGGATCTCTTCCGAGTTCCTTCAGAAGAGGATGTGTGTATGATGTTCCTCGAATTCCTTGCTTGGAGAAGGACTTGGGGCGTCCGGTGCGGTGCGGGGGGTGGGGGGAGGGGAGGAAGGAGTAGGAGGGGGGGGAGAGCTCTAGTCCAAGGTCACGACGAGGTTTTAAAACTCGTTTGATCACTTGACACGGCGAATGAGAACGGCCAGACTGATCTCGGGGGGTAAAAAAAAGTTGTGAGGTGGAGAGAGAAAAAAACGCAAAAAAAAACAAGAAAAAAAAACGTGTATACTAGACTAGACTTGCGTATTGAAGGTTTGTGTTTGTGTGTTGGATTGAAGGTCTAGGTTTATCGGTGTCTTCTCCCTCTCTCACACACGCACATGTAAACACACACACGCACACACACACACACGCGCGCGCGCGCGCGCACACACACACACAAACACATACAGAAACAAGCAAGCAAACAAACACTCAAACAAGCAAGCAAACACTCAAACAAACAAATACATGTAAAAACGCAAACAAACAAATAAACAAATAAGCAAACAAACACATAAACTAACACACACACGAAAACAGCAAGCTTATTATAACAAAATATCCAATTAGCGATCAACCCTCACTTTGAGCTCAGATTCTCTCTCGCGCGCGCACGCTCAAGGACCCAGCAAGCCACAGAGAACTTCAACTTTTAACGAAGATGACTATCGAAGCACTAAGGTATCATTAAAACGTCAAAAATTATACATTTTCTCCCCCCTCCCCCCCCCCCCCCCCACACACACACCTGAAGATGGAACCCGTGAGTATTCTGGGTCTGTTGTCTGTCTCATCAGTGGATAAGTCTATATGTGGAGTGTGTTTTGTTTTCTGCGAAAGATCAGCATTTGCTCTAAGTCTGTCTCTCTCACTCTCTCTCTCTCTCTCTCTCTCTCTCTCTCTCTCTCTCTCTCTCTCTCTCTCTCTCTCTCTCTCTCTCTCTCTCTCTCTCTGTCACTCACTTACTCACTCACTCACTCACTCTCTCTCTCTCTCTCTCTCTCTCTCTCTCTCTCTCTCTCTCTCTCTCTCTCTCTCTCTCTCTCTCTCTCTCTCTCTCTCTCTCTCTCTCTCTGTCAAAAAAAAAAAAAAAAAACGCCAGTCAAAATATATTTTTAGTTACACATAGCAAAGTTTTCTTCGTCATACCATCTTGAAAACCTTAACAAAAGCATAACTAACGATCGAACAGCCTGTCACAGTGCCAAGTCATGATCGACTGAACACTGCTCTTATCTTGAATGCGAGATTTTTCACCTTTTTTTTAATCGTCTGCCTTCTTTTTTTTTTCACTTGCCACGGCTTTCTTCCTCTTTTGCCTCTTCCCTCCGTTTTTTGTCATTATCTTTCTTTTTCTTGTTTCTTATATATATTTATTTTTATTTTTATTTTTTTTTATTTTTTGACTCCCAAGTGTCTCTCCCCAATGACCCTGCAGCATCGTTCTTTGACGAGTCATGTTCGGTCGTCAATAGCCATCCTTTCCCCTCTCCCCCTCCCCCTCCCCTTACCCCAATCCCTACCCCTTCCCCTGTCCCTTTCCCTACCCTAGCCCCCGCCCCTGGCCCTTACTCCTACCCTATTCCTGCCCCTGCCCCTTTCCGTACCCCTACCCTGACCCCTCTACCCTCCCTGCCCTCCCCCTCCCCCTCCCCTTCCCCTCTGGCTGGCGTCCCTTAATGAGAAAACTCAAAGACAAAAGAAGACAATAGAGGACAGCTGTTGCGGGGGCTACGAGGGCTAATCGGTAGATTGAGAAGAGTGATAAAAAAGAGAAATAGAGAGAGAGAGAGAGAGAGAGAGAGAGAGAGAGAGAGAGAGAGAGAGAGAGAGCAAGAGAGGGGGCAAAAAAGAGAGAGGGGGAGGTAGAGAAAGGGTGAGAGAGAGGGAGAGATAGAGAAAGGGTGAGAGAGAGAGAGAGAGAGAGAGGGGGGGGGGCGAAAGAGAGAGAGGGAGAGATAGAGAAAGGGTGAGAGTGAGAGGGGGGGCGAAAGAGAGAGAGGGAGAGATAGAGAAAGGGTGACAGAGAGAGAGAGAGAGAGAGAGAGAGAGAGAGAGAGGATAGAAAGAGAGACCAAGAAACAAACAAATCAGACGTGAATATTTTCTTATATACCGAAAAATTAAGCAAATTTCAAATCAAATGGAAAAAGCATTGTGATTGAATAAAATGACAATGACTCGATTGTCACCAGTCATAGTTGATAATTGGGCGGACGAACGCTTATTAAAGATAAAAAAAAATCATATTTCCGTGATAATTCCTTATCACTATATCACGGTTTTTTGTTGACCACCTTTTGTGATTTTTTCTTCTATAAATTTCTGTATATAAGGTTTTATTTTTTTTTATTTCGTTTCTTTCAAAGAGGTGTGTATATATATCGCTATTCTTTTTTAACAGTTTTATTTCCTTACAACATTGCTAGATAACCTTATCTTTTTCTTTTAATATATTTTCCTTACAAATTCCCGCCTGTAAAATTAATCTTACTGTTAAAATTTTAATTGCTAAAAAAAAATGTTGTATAGAGCCTTATCCCTTTTTATTTTTCGTACAAATTACTTTTAAAAAATACAATTCTAATGTTAATTTTTAAAAAAATCGCATATCAAAAAAAAAAAAAAAAAAGATACGCGCCGTGCAATTCAAACTTCTATGTACGTTTCTTGCCATTATAAAGTAAACCCATCTTATCAGAGTAGTAAATTAGCTGAAGGCGTGGCGAGAAAAGATAAATGACGATAGAAAAACACGAAGAAGAAGGAGAGAGAAAGAGAGAGAGAGAAAAAAAAAGAAGGAACGGTAATTTAGGGAGAGATTCATCAACAGAAATTTCTTCGTGATGGTACTATGGCTGCCCTAGGGTGCGATTTGCAGGAACTTTCCAGATGCTGCAAGATGGCCCTCGAGATTCTCCGAGATTGGCTTCCTTCCCTTACCTATACCCTTCCCCCCCCCCCCCCCCCCCCCCCCCCCCCCCCCCCCCCCCCCCCCCCCCCCCCCCCCCCCCCCCCCCCCCCCCCCCCCCCCCCCCCCCCCCCCCCCCCCCCCCCCCCCCCCCCCCCCCCCCCCCCCCCCCCCCCCCCCCCCCCCCCCCCCCCCCCCCCCCCCCCCCCCCCCCCCCCCCCCCCCCCCCCCCCCCCCCCCCCCCCCCCCCCCCCCCCCCCCCCCCCCCCCCCCCCCCCCCCCCCCCCCCCCCCCCCCCCCCCCCCCCCCCCCCCCCCCCCCCCCCCCCCCCCCCCCCCCCCCCCCCCCCCCCCCCCCCCCCCCCCCCCCCCCCCCCCCCCCCCCCCCCCCCCCCCCCCCCCCCCCCCCCCCCCCCCCCCCCCCCCCCCCCCCCCCCCCCCCCCCCCCCCCCCCCCCCCCCCCCCCCCCCCCCCCCCCCCCCCCCCCCCCCCCCCCCCCCCCCCCCCCCCCCCCCCCCCCCCCCCCCCCCCCCCCCCCCCCCCCCCCCCCCCCCCCCCCCCCCCCCCCCCCCCCCCCCCCCCCCCCCCCCCCCCCCCCCCCCCCCCCCCCCCCCCCCCCCCCCCCCCCCCCCCCCCCCCCCCCCCCCCCCCCCCCCCCCCCCCCCCCCCCCCCCCCCCCCCCCCCCCCCCCCCCCCCCCCCCCCCCCCCCCCCCCCCCCCCCCCCCCCCCCCCCCCCCCCCCCCCCCCCCCCCCCCCCCCCCCCCCCCCCCCCCCCCCCCCCCCCCCCCCCCCCCCCCCCCCCCCCCCCCCCCCCCCCCCCCCCCCCCCCCCCCCCCCCCCCCCCCCCCCCCCCCCCCCCCCCCCCCCCCCCCCCCCCCCCCCCCCCCCCCCCCCCCCCCCCCCCCCCCCCCCCCCCCCCCCCCCCCCCCCCCCCCCCCCCCCCCCCCCCCCCCCCCCCCCCCCCCCCCCCCCCCCCCCCCCCCCCCCCCCCCCCCCCCCCCCCCCCCCCCCCCCCCCCCCCCCCCCCCCCCCCCCCCCCCCCCCCCCCCCCCCCCCCCCCCCCCCCCCCCCCCCCCCCCCCCCCCCCCCCCCCCCCCCCCCCCCCCCCCCCCCCCCCCCCCCCCCCCCCCCCCCCCCCCTCTACCCTCCCCATACCCCCATTAGTGCCCCCTCCCTCTCTACCCTCCCTACCCCCTCCTCTCTACCCTCCTACCCCCTCCCTCTACCCTCCCTACCCCCTCCCTCTCTACCCTCCCTACCCCCTCCCTCTCTACCCTCCCTACCCCCTCCCTCTACCCTCCTACCCCCTCCCTCCTACCCTCCCTACCCCCTCCCTCTCTACCCTCCCTACCCCCTCCCTCTTCTACCCTCCCTACCCCCCTCCCTCTCTACCCTCCCTACCCCCTCCCCCTTTTCCAATCCCCATTCCCTGCATATCTTAAAAGCCTTTTCTTAATTAACTGTTCTTGAATCTCGACAAATGAAGACGTAAGTGCATATAACGCGGCAGCCATTGCAATACCCTGGGGCTAAATACCTTCCTGTAACGAATGTATAAACGAAATTATCACGCGAATGGGGG